AGTATTCAGATATAATCAATTTAGTCTCCCTATTAAAAAACGTGTATAATATAACAGAAATGCCCAATCCTTTTCTCTTTTAATATCAAATAAGTATATAGTACAGTTCTTTCGGGGTACTGCTAGTTTTGGAAATAAAAAGAATTATAATGACAGTAATACACTTTATAAACTGCTCTTTTTAAATAAACTGTTAAGAAATGAAGTTAATTAAAATAAGTACCATGCCTAGATTAATAATGGAAAGTTGAAATGTAACACAATACTAACAAAATTAACTGTTTTAAACAATTTTATTCATTATAACTGTCTCAATAATCTAAAAATTTATTAATTACTCTATTGTTTTATTCACCTTGTACTATTTTCTATTGTCTTGTAAAAGGGAGAATTTCCTGTTGATTGTATATAAATAAATAATGAGTTACAGCAACTTTTAAAATGAGCAATTAAAATAAATTATATATCAATTATTCTCGCCTTAATTAACTATAGACTGTAACATTCCAAAGTTTACAGGTGTGAAAAGCAAACCTAATCCAGAAAGAGTATTACAAGGCCCTTTAAGATTTTGATTAGAATGGAATAACACAGTTGGTGTAGGTTGTACTGCTAAAGGAAAAATTCGCTTCGTGAAGGCACCAAAAAAAAAGTAATCCACCGATGTGTATCTGTGAAAAGAAAAGAACAAATGAAAGCCAAAAATAATCATTTTGTACAACAAAAACAGTCACTGAATTAAAACAATGATTTTGTTACCAAAGTAGATAATAAAACTGAATTATTTTATAAAATCAATTTCTTAGTACTGAATTGATTATTATTTTTCACTAAATCGAACGATATTCATAAACAAGGTTCACGCTTTTCCTAGANACATTTACTGTGTTACGAAATTTGACTATGTTATGCACATTCTGTATTCTTTTTTATTATAATTACCCATCGACTTTTGGCACAAATTACTGCTTAAATAATGTTTTCAGAACTCTTTTTATTATTCTGAGAAAACAAAAACTATTACATTGGAGGTAAAATGTCGCGCACTGTTAATTAGAACAAAATGGAGTGATATAAGAAGGGCATCCGCAATTGAAATCCTTCGCTTGTATTGCTGACGGGTATATATCCATTAATATTAACAAGTTTTGTACAATTTTTAATGAAACGACTGGAGGGAATTAAGTTATGATTGCCAGAGCAAAATAATTAAAGAAATTCTTAGTTAGTTATTGAGCAAACTTCATTTACAGGCAAAATATTTAAGAAAACATATCTGGAGACCCCAGTCAAAACATTAATTTGTTATTTATTACTGTAGAATAAAACTATTGTTTCTTCAGGCAACCAATCCCAAGAATTTTCAAAAATTAGTTACTTAGCGTTACCCTGTATATGTCATATAATTTTTAAAAAAATGTTGATTATAATATAATTTCAAACATGCCATAATAATTTTTATGAATTTAAAAACAATTTTGTTGGTATATAGATACAGATACGTACATTTATGAGGAAATTAATTATTAAGTCCTTTTTCAAATTTGGCTGTATCCTGTAGTAACTCAGAAAAAATATACAAAGGAAATCCCAAAGCCACAGGAAAATTTTGGCTCGGCTATTAATTGACCAAATTGTCGTGTTTGTTGTTTACATCACTCTTGAACAAGCCTTCTATGATGCTCTGTCTTAGCTCATGAGGTGTTTGTAACGAAGCTTCTATTTGTCGCTACCGAAGCTGTAATGTTGTTCGATTTTTTGAATGCAAGAGGCGTTAGATCTTTTAAAATTCATCAACAGTAGAAAGAACTGTATGACTTCATGCATGAATGTTAAAAACATTGAGGACCTTGAGATATTGAAATACCAGAATTTCTTTGGCGTTATGAAAACAACTTTTTTGATTCGAAGTTTTAACTTCCATGAATCTCTCTATGCACCTCGGTCTACTGCTGTTGAATTGTGATAGTTTTAACGCCTTTTGTGTTCTAAAAACCGAATGACTTCACGAACTTCGTACCTTGCGGTAGCGGCAATCGGGAACTTCATTACGCACAGTTGCTGAGAAAACAAACACAGCAGTGTGGTAAATAGACGAAACTTTGGAGACCTTACTTTTGGGTTTGTTGTCGTACGTTAAAATTAAATAAGTAAATAAATAATTTATAGAAAAATATTTTTCAAAATTTTTTATA